AATTGGATGACATTATATACATGTGCCCATTTACCAAGATCTACGTAAAAATGTGAGGTTTCATTATGTTGTCAGTCACTTTCCTCTAGATGGATCCTTGTTACTCACTCAGATATACTTAGTTTTTAATTTTTAACAACTACAACAAATGAGAATAAATTAGTAAACAAAATAGCTAAGGGCACTGCTGGTGAGCCTCTTGAGTTCAGTATTCTCATTATGTTACTTTGCAGAAAATTTGGAGATGTGTACTTCTTGTGGCATATACACCTTATTATCTATCAGTAACTATTTGTTGAAATCCCGTATGCCCAGAGTACAACACAAAATCGGAGCATACTTTAATAAGAAACATAGAATCTAAAGGATGGTTTCAATTGGTTGTTAGAATGAGTAAGAAGAGAAACTGGATAGGGATTGGAGACATTCAACTCGATTTCTATAATTCATTTGATCGTAGTAACTTTTTTGAACAAATAAGATTTATATGAAGCCCACCAAATATGGGTAAACTCAGAAAAAAAGAACCCACTTGTATTAAATGAGTGAAAACAATGAGTGATGAGAGAAAAAGTAGTAAAAACGGTCGGGGGAATGACTATGATATCAAAGAAAAGATATTTTTCTTCTAAGAGCTCTATTACAAAATATTTATTAAACATTAAAGGTTACTAGTCTTATTATATACTCCTGGTGAGAGTTTGTACAATTTCCCTGGTAAAAAAAATATAGAAATATGAAGCAAGAATATTTAACAAAATTATTTCCTTTCATCCAGTATTTTTCCTTTTAGGAATCTGTCCTATAGAAATAATTATAAAGTCAAGGAGAAAGGGTATTAATAAAGATCATCATATCATTATTTGCAATAAGGAAAACTGAAAAAATCCTAATTTCCAGCAATATACGGTGGCACCTCAGTTCACAAACTTAATTTGTTCTATGATTTTGGAAAAGATAGTCACATTTGTGTTTGTGTGGGAAAGATGGCCGTGGTCGTATTTGTCACTTGATGCAGAGTTTGCAGATAAAAACAAATTTTTGCCGAATGCTTCTGTTTGTACACCAAATTGTTTGGAGACAAAACTTGAGGTACTACTGTATATGAAATTATACAATGTTCACGTAGATATCATGTAACCATGAAGAAGATGTTTTCTGAGGCCATTTAATAAGGATTAAATACACTTAAAATTTAGAGTAAAAGAAACAAATTCCTTTTCTCTATTTCTCCCAAATTTCTATATTAACCTACATAATTATGTTTAGAGAAAAAAAACAGAATTGAAATATAGGGATGCCCATATCTAATAATACAGTAATTCTCAGCAAATCCTGAGTTGTAGAATACAACTGTGTCTCATTAGGTCAAGGATAAGGGGAATTGCTGCTCTTTGGAAGTCTAGTACCAATGGAATATGCTATCTTCTACTCTGGAAGCTTCTGAAAGTGGGCTCCTCTCCATAACAGGCTGCACAGATCTCTAAATGACACCTACAGGGCTCAAACTCAGCAGGTCAATTATGTGTGTCTTTTGATTCCCTTGACTACTGCAGCCTCAAACTAAGTCAGGCTCACCTTATGGATTGACCTTCAGAATTGTACAGTGTGATTTCTGTGCCTTTTGCCCAAGAAAATGCTGTCCATATATTTGCTGATGCCTGAAAGTTATTTAAAAGGGATGGAGTTCTTTTTTCACATTTAGAAATAACACACAGATGTCATTTAAAGTGGAAATGCCAGGCTGTGACCACATACTGATTGTAATTCAAACCCACCAATTTGCATATTTTCCATGAATTTAGTTACCATTATATTATTTTTCTCTAAGTATTTGCTTTTATTGCTTTGGGCTTTCTACAATGAAAGAGTTTACATGATCACTATCAGATCTTTCCAGTTTGAGAAGATGAAGGGATTAGAACAGACTGCAAGAATGATATAGAAAGGGAAAGGCAGGCATGGCTAGTAGATAGCAGTGAAAAGCGAATGTGAAGATCAAGGGCAAATCCATGAAATTTGTGATTTTATTGAAGATTATTATTAATGAATGGTATATATTTGAGAAGAAACCAGAGAATCGACAGACTTACAGTTATCAGGGTTGGTTGGACGTATGTGTAATTTAGAAAAGATGCCAAAGATAGGTTACCAGATATGTACCTGCTCAGATTTAAGTAGATTTTTCTTATACTATGCCTCATACATGAATTTTATTATATTCTGAGATCATCTTTCAGTTTAAGAAAAGGTTGAGACAGACCCCTGAACTCTTGACCAATGGAATTTTCTTGGGGACTTCCACCTTTTCATAAGGGGAGACACCACTTACTGGTCACCCACCTCTGATGCAGGCCACCCTTCTACTGCTATCCCATCACTCTTTATTCAATACCCCTTCCTTATTATTGGTTATTATATATTAAACCTGTTAGAGTTGATGGCTTTTTCAAATCTGGAAAGGAAAAAAATTAAATCCTCAAGGAATTGAAAAATCAAAGTACAGGGCCAGGGATTTAGCTCAGTGATTCTGACACCTGCCTCGCAAACACAAGATACAGAGTTTGATTTCCGGTATCAAAAAAAGAAAAAGAAAAATCAATGTACACATTGTAGATAACAAGTATATTTTAGGTACCTTGAGTATATCTGTATGTGTGTTTTTAATAGTCTTTCCTATTTTCACTCATACTATTTTGATCATTTATTCACCAACTAGCAACACTAGCAAGGCAGCTATTCCAAATCAAGTTGTTGTTTAAAAAAATAGAAAGATTGAGGTTAAATTTTTCTAACTAGTGAATGATTTTTGTGATGCATTGAGAACTAAAATCAGAAAATAAAAGCTTTTTTAAAAAAAGAATCAAATTCCAGATTGATATGTTTAATTTAGCTGGTGATTAAAGAGAGCTCTTTTTTTTTAATTCTGTGTAATAAAACATTTAGAGTATTTCTTGGAGCATTTTGTTGACAGATATCCTCATATTCCTCCAAATGAATGCATAATAAAATCTTCCAATATGCATAAGAAATTTTTATACTTTCAATGCAATTTATTATTTCATTCAAAAATGTATTATTTTATAAAAACAGCTTTCCAATTTATAACACACTATAGTAGGAGGTAAAGAACAATTTGACTTCAAATTCAGGGACAACAACAAAAAAAGTGCAACCATCAAACATAAAATTCTCTTAATTATGTTGTCAGGTAAAGATATACAACTAAAAACAAAAAATTTATTTTTGTTGTGTTCATTAGTGATAACTGGCATCATTAAACCCTTTAGAAGTTTGGAGTTATGCATAATTCCATAGAAATACATCTTCCTAAGAGTTATTGAAAGATCTATATAAGCAAGTTCAATCATGAGATCTTATTTTAGGAGTTGAGTATGGTGAAAACATCTGCAGTCTCAAAATTCTGGGAGGCTGAGGCAGGAGGATCTTAAATTCTAGCCCAGCCTGTACAATTTAGCCACTTAGATCATGTCTAAAAAGCTTTAAAAATGGGTTGGTGGGGAAAGAAGAAATAAAAAAAGATTATGCACATGTAACAACTCCCTGCAAGGAATGTATTCAGTATGTATCTCAAACATATAATAATAACAAAAATGGGGTGAACTGAGGACGTAGCTCAGTGAGAAGGCTCTGGATTCAATCCCAATACTTCACAAAAAGAATTTATATTTCAAATTGTGTTTATCAAATAGCAATAAATAATTCAATATAGGATGGTATAAAGTACAAGATACAATTTTAGCGTATTTGTTCATTTTAGATGTGACATTGTTTTACTTCTGCCAATAGTCTATCTTAAAACAACAATTATAATACTACTTGTATATATATGCCTTTTATCAAAAAGAATTGAATTTATTACCAAAGAAGCATATTAATATATTGACTTGCATAAAGCCTGTATATGTTCATGATTCAAGTTAGCAAATGTAAGAATTTCCAGTGTTAGAAATTCATAGACTACACTAATCTTAAAAATTCTAAAACCATCATCTTGTTTTTGTGCAATATAACTTAGACATGTAATTAGAAAAGTTTACCATGTTTAATCTTCACTTAGAAAATTTATTTACAATTTTCCTCCAAACTCTTACTCCAAGAACAAAAAACCATCAAAATTTAAGGGATGAGCTATTGATTCTTTTTTAGTAGCATACATTAAATGCATTTTCATTTTTGATGGATTAGTATAAGAAGAAATTTCTTAACAATATGCCTGTATAGGTGAAATCATACTTTTAATTTATACCAAACCACTAAAACCAAATAATTTTAAGTAGATGTATATTGCATTTCAAATGAAAATAAAACTTAGGAAAACAGAATGAAATATGTGGTATATATTTGTAATTAATAGGAAAATTTTCCCACAATTTGATGTAACCGAATATAGCTAAATCAACCTTAAAAATCTTATACTTATCTCTGATATGCATACTAGGATTTTGATTTGCATACATCTGAATATTTTACCCAAAGCATATTTTGTCCATGGTTTTATGTCCAAATCTTCCAGTACCTTAACTAAAGGTCACTTGCTCATATTTTAATGACACATTATCCAAAAGTTAATTATCATGATGTCCATTACATTGAATTCAAATTTTAAAATGCTTTTAAGTCATAATGATGATATTTATCTTAATGAATTTGCACCTCTTTCCCCAAATTTCAGAAATTGCATTTTAATGTATTAGTGGATACTATTATAAGTCAAATAGTTCCACACTGTTGGTTTTAAAACCAAGTCAAATATTATGACATGGCATTATAATAGCATTACTAAAATCTTCATCCTGTCTCATTTCCCAACAACCATCTAGATGGCATCCAGCTTGGTCCCAAAGCACACACTGCAAAGAATAGAATACCAGCTATACATGCATTTAGCTCAGCGTATTGCAGTTACAATCTAGACTTATTAACTGTCAGAGTGCATTGGAGAAAAGTATATTAACTGTAATTAAGGAATTACTCACCCAGCTGAGTTTCCTGAATTGTCAGTTTACTTTCCACAGGATACAAAAGCTTGGGTGGCTTATCAGTCAGAGGAGCTGAAAAACAAGAATAGTAACAGTACAGAGACTTATAGTTATGCTGCATGAACTCAAAGAATACAATTTATTTTCTCACACATTTTTCATTCTTAAAGTACTGTCGAAGCACTGTACCAAGTAATGACTTTCATATTGCAGGTAATACCTTCAGGAAAAGGCAAAAGCTATTAGATTATAAAAGAGGGAAATACAACATGTCCAGATTGACAGTCACATGACAGTATTGATTTACGGAAGCAGGATTGGTCAGTACTTAAGAGCATATGAGTGTGTTTCACAAAGCATTTCAATTTATACCTTTTTTTTCTTTTAATGGGGTGCCCTACATTTTTTCCTGTGTTAAAACTACATGTGATATATGAGGTATGTATTACAACACTTTTTGACATAGGAATGTGTCATTCTTCTTAATACCATTCCTATGTTCCATATGTTGTGGTGCATTATTTCACAACTCTCAATTTAGTAATTTTATTATTTGCTCATATTTTCTGAATGGGGTAGCAAAGTGCCATTAAATTAGTATGAGCATATACGTCCATGCCAAGAAAATATTTTTAAATGATATTTCCATTTAGACTATTTTATTACTATTGTCTATTACATTTTGCAGTATTTATTTACTTATTTTCATGATATATTCTCTTTGATTTGAAGCTTCCACACGTTTCTGCTAGTGCTTTCATCAATTTCATTTATCAGCCTACAAATCTGAGTTTGCTATTAAGCATTTTCAAGATAGGTTTCTCACTGCATAATTCATTCCTAACTAAACTAGACTAAACTGAACTTTAAACTGAACTTTAAACAAATAGTTCTTTATTGAGCTTCCCTCCCCACCCACTCTGATTGAATTGTCTAGGCCTCTTGAAACCTGCCACTGCAACTTCTACTCTGTGTCAAGTACAAAAATGATCAATTAAGGGTTGCAGAACTAAGTGTTTTGACTTTCAGGGCTGTCTTTCTCCTTTGCCAGGAGTATATGCCAATTTGGTTGATAACTGCAAGGCTGATCTAGACAGAAGTGCCAAGAGTTGGCTACATGTACTTGTCACCAGAGGACTCAAGAATTCAAACTGGCTCACCAGCTTGCATCCATCTCTCTTTAACAAAAAACACAGGCAGAGCAAAGTATAGGCACAACCCAAGTTAGAAAAACTGGGATGTATTTTAATAGTGTTGATATGGGAGACCAAGGTACAGTTGATTGTTCTTCTTCATAATTAATTGAATGTTTTATTCATTTATCTTTATTACTATTTAACAAAGGTACAGGTAAAGAGGAAAAAACAGTTGGGGTAATAGGAAGAGAGAAATAGCTTTGAAATTCTCAGATACAACATCACTTCGATTAACTTTAAATATTCTTACTTTTTGCCTAAGCGATTTGATCTTATCAGATTTTCTTCTCTTACCACCTAAATAATCAGCTTATTACTAAATGTTGACAAAATAGTTTACCATTAATAGGTCAAAAAGTCACATTTCTTAGATCCTCTTTATTAAATTATTTCAGTGAGCATCAAAAGCAACTATGACATCAAAATAGCTGTTTATTTTGTAAATCAAGACAGTTTATAAAATCTTGTGATTAAGTAGTTACCAGTAGATAATTTGACAGTTTGTTTTAGAGAACAGTTGAGAACAATGTTCCTTATTAAAACACATCCCACACTATTCTATGGTAAGAGGGGAAAAGATCTGGAAAGATAGTAAAGTCCATATGTAGCAGATTTGTTCAGAATAAAAATGATTTTGTGATTCTCCACCCAAACCCACCACCCACTCTGTGGCACAATGTAATATTATTAAGAGTTTTCTTATTCTGTCACATGACAATCTGAGTTAGCATAGGAATTTTTCAAGTCTAACTCATGAAATCACAGAATGTTGGAGCCAGAGAGAGTTCTATGTTTATTAAGGGTTTTTTGGGGGGGGGTGGTAATTGGGGGAGCTTTTAAACTAAAGTCAGAAGTTTTGCACAGTGCCCTCTAGGCAGGTGAAGTGAAGGAGGTAAGGACTGTCTGGGCATGTCTCTGTGCTTTGTGATACTACCACTTCTCTTTGACAAAAGTAGCTCTGCTTTTATTTATTGTATCCAATATTTCACTCAAGAATTTGAATAATCAAATTTGAACTAAATTCATTTGACATATAGGAAATACTACCATGTGTCAGGTACTGCGATAGGTGGTTTGGAATATCTCTGCTTTTTGCTCTTATACTTTACAGTTATCTGCAGTTTAATAATAAGAATTCTGGGCCTATTCAACTCCTTTGTCTTAGAAATCAGGAATCTAAGGTACAAAGAGATCAAATGTTTTGCCAAAGGTAACAAAGTACGTTCAAGCTAAAGTCCTTGCTAGATCTTTTCCTCTCTATTCTTTCTTATGTGCTCAGTGAAAATTCTGTCAAGCAATGACTGTATAAGCTGTATAAAGTCTTCCCTCAAGGTTTGTGTGATTTGTTAGAAGAGTGAAAACATCCAATTAAATCATCAGAATTTAGAGCAAGGAACTCTTGTAGTGCAATCTGCCATCATCTATAAGTCTCATGGATTGGTATTATGCTGTGATGGGTATCACTTTGGCACATTTCTTGTATGATTTGCCTTTCTTGGATAAAAGTGAGTGGAAACTTCCAGATAACACAACAGCGGAACTGCTGTTTTGACACACTGACAAAATGACTGTGAAAAGAAAATGATCACTAAGGCTAAGACATAGCTCAGGTTCACAGTCATTTGAGGGTGACAAATTTTGAGGATACCAGGAAAGGACATGAACAGAATTATAGATTATTTGAATGTTTCTAACACTTTAAACTTATGCTATTTAATAAATACCAGTTGAACTGAATTGACAGAGATAAAACTGGATAAACAAAAACAGGAATGATAATGACCAATGAAAATGAACACACACACACAAACAGAAAACTGTTCTGTATTCTCTCCATTGGCAAAGGTAGAATTATAATGAAACTGAAACATTATTTATAATAGAAAGCAAAGTTATTAACATCAAACCGTGACTAGAACATCTGACATTTCACTGTCAAGAAAACAACTTGTCTTTTGGGAACACTTCCTTCTCTTTCTAACATACATATACAAACACATAGGCATTAACTGAAATCACTGGAGAACTAAAGAAAGTCCAACGGTAGTGACATGACATGAAGCACAGGGTGATTTTAAAACATAATAACACTTTGTCTGCCAAAGGTCCGATTTTTATCTCACAATCTATGCATTATATATAGCTTTGTATCCATTAACAAAAGCATTTCCAAACCTTCGTTTGATTCTTCAGAAAATGCTATTAAAAACATTAAAGATGCTAAAATCATTCACAATAGTAGAACTCTCTTACAGAGTTATTGCTATGTCTCAATGAACAAAACTTTTCTGTACAACAGAAGGGGAATTTTAAGGACATTCATTTTGCTTACTTGTTGAGGTTAGAGCAACATCTAAAAGTTGGTATACATAAAGATGTGTACAAGACTGATCCCTCGTCTATGTTAATGTTACGTAACTAGTCAAGAAGAGATGCAGTCTCTCCCTCTTTTCCCCATTTCTTGTACACATAACAGAACAATGAAATAGAGTTTAATACTCTTAAAACAAAAACCAGAGCAGATCAACCAGGATTCTTTAGTCTTTCTAATGTTCCTGAGGAAAGAAATGTGAGGTATTTGGGATGAATATACACTTTCCCTGTCAAAGGATCACCCTTTTAAATCTAATTCTAACTCCTCACAAACTAATCCCTCAAATACTATTGCGAATACTCAATATTTCTTGTATTCCTATAGTTATTCTAGCACAAAATTTGTGCTTTCAAAATCATAAATAGTTTTTGATGCATTTTAACTCACTACTCGCTCCACTTTGTTTTTTAGAAGTATTATGGTAGAATAAGGAAAATCATACACTTTGCTTTCAGGGAGACACAGATTAAATAATTCCTGACTCTGGTTTGTTGACTTGGCAAATTAGAGAAACTATTTAATATCTCTTAGTCTTCTTATATGTAAAGTATGACATAGTTTTCCCACATGGGTTTGTGTGAAGCTTCTGTAGGTAATAAATATATTTTATGAAGTATTATTTGTAATAGAAATTAACTAAGTATAAAATGATAAAAAATAAATCTGTTCCAACGATACCTTTGGGTATCATCAGTTTGGGACAATAGCACTTAGGATTATATGCAGCTAAAAAGAAAAAATATTGTTTAGGAAATAATAAAGTGATATTTTACTAAGGGTTTAAAAGGGGTTTAGACCCTGGATTTAAGAATAATTAATTTTCACATTAGTTTTTTCTTTTTTTTCTTCTTTGGGGGGCACCGGGGATCAAACTCAGGACCTTGCATTTGTGAGGCAGGCTCGGTGCCACTGAGCTAAGTCCCCGGCCGGACAGTAGTTTCTATAACAGATGAATCAATCTATCTTCAAGAATTCAATCACAATAAAACCCATTTTAAATAGTTTTATTTCCCCAATTTCCCAGGAGCAGAGCCCCCCGGCACCAAGGAGGTGGTGAGTCATGTGGGCACCAGCAGCTGTGCCCAGCCAGTACCTGTATCAACACCACAGAGGTGTAGGGGGTCATAAAGGCCATTGTTCTGAGCTCCAGAAGATAGAGCAGAAGGGAATAACAGAAAGAGGGCCTCTCTGAGGCTCCTTGATGAAAATTGAAGCCCACTGGAAAAGTGAAGAAAATTTCTACAATAAGGCACACCAGACCACTGTACTTGGTAAGTTGGAGGGATCACCACCTCCCATTGGAACCTGCACTATCTTCAGGGTAGGGCAGCTTGAACCTGCAATAGAATCTGGCAGAGTTCAACCCTGCAGGAGGACAGGGAGCTCATTTGGGCCTTGCAGCTAGAAATCAGCCTGAATCTCAGGGGAATGCTGCTAGCTTGCTGAGACTAATTGACTTAGATCTGCACACTGCTGCCCACGTTGTCTATTGTGATAGCAGA